TTTTTGTGATGATTTTTAAAATTTTATTTTTTTAATATACATATATATTTAAATAAGAAAAAAAAAACAAACAAACAAACCACTTTGCCTTGCTTAAATTTTTATCATTATTATTATTTTTGTTTAATCCTCAAGTCAGATTATATATATATATATATATATATATATAAAATAAAATTAATTATCGCGGATAAATAATAATAATTTATCGTTAATTATCAAAAAAACGATTTAATATTTTCTAACTTATGGATTTATTAAAATTCTTATTAATAAATAAGTATAAATTTTTTTTTTTTCTTTTGCGTTTAAAATTAATTTTTTAATAAATTTTCTTTTTTTTTTGCGTAATAAAAAAATTAAATAAAATTGTTTAAAGCACGCTTGAGACCGTTTTTTTCTAGAATTTTATTACGTTTTTTTTTTTTTGTCTCTCTCTCTCTCTCTTTCTCTCTCGTTAGAATTTTATTATTATTATTTTTTTTTTTACCTGGGATCATAAAATTCATTAGTATTCGAGGTTGAAATATTTATCTTAAAGGATAAAATTTAAAATAAAAAAAAAAAATAGTAACAACGACAGAATAATGCGAATCTATTTCGATTATGGTTTACCAAAATATTTTACATATAAATTTAAAATTTATATAAGTTGAAGGGTTTATTAATTGTAAATGATATAATTTTTAATTAAAACTGATTAAAAAAGGGTTTTATTTACATTATTTTGACTAATTAATAATTTTAATTCATCTTAAATAAATAAATAAAAAAAAGTTTTTTAATATGTATCTTAAACATAAAATTATTATTAATAATAATTATATATTTATATATATTTTTTATTATGTTATGAATAAGTTGTTATGTTTAACTTTTTCTTCAAAGTTTAACAAAATTTTCTTTCAAGCTAAAAAATTTTCCCAAAACTAATTATTAACGGTTCGAATAAGAAAACTTTTTTTCTAATAAACTTGAGTGTGCTTTAAAAATAAAATTTGAATTTTTTATATTTTTTTTTTCTGAACAAAATATCGTTTGCTAACTTTAAAAAAAAAAAATTTTATTTAATTTATTTATTAATAAGAATATCAAATAATTTGTTTTATATATATATATATTTATATGTAATTAATTTTAGTATATTTTTCTTCTTAAATATATTTTATTGCAAATAATATTACTACTACTATTACTACTATTACTATTATTATTATTACTATTACATTTATTTGATTTTTATTAACCTTTTGTATGCAAAATAATTTTTTTTTTTATATATTATTATAAATTTTTTTGTAAATTTGTTAAATTAATTGTTTTGATTTGTAAATTAATTTTAAAAATTAATTTTATTTTTTTTCTTGTTTTTTTTTTTTTTTTTTTTTTTAATATAGTTATTCATTTGTTTAATATTTATTGCTATTATTATTATATTATAAATTTTAATATATATATATATATATATTTTTTAGTTTTTTTATAAAATTATAATAATTTTAGCAGTAAGTTTGGATACTATTGAATAATGAAAGATATTTAAATATTTGCAAAAAAGAAGAGTAAGGAATAAAAAAAAAAAAAAAATATGAAGCTTAATTATAAAACAGTAGTTTTTTTTTTTTTTTAAATATGATTAATTAAAATAAATAATTTTTTATATAATGACGATAAATAATTAATAAAAAATTTAGGGAAAAACGTTAAATAAATAAAAATTAATAGAAGGAAAAACAAAAAAAAAAACA